TAGGGAATACAAAGATGTACCATGACTTGAAGAAAAATTTCTGGTGGCTGGGAATGAAGAAAAGCATTGCTGATTTTGTGGTTCGATGCTTACATTGCCAACAAGTTAAAGCTGAACATCAATGATCTGCCATATTGCTACAACCGCTTCCAATACCAGAATGAAAATGGGAACATATCACGATAGACTTCATTGTGGGATTACCTCACTTGTCTCAAGGTATGGACTCTATCTGGGTAATTGTTGATTGTTTAACTAAATCTGCACATTTCTTACTTGTCCAATCTTTGTATAATGCGGATAAGTTGGTTAACTTGCATGTTAATGAGATTGTGAGATTACATGGTGTGCCAGTATCTATTGTACATGACAGAGATCCTAAGTTCACTTCAAGATTTTGGCAGAGTCTACAGCAAACTCTGGGGACTAAATTGAGACTAAGTAGTGCTTATCACCTACAAACAGATGGCCAATCTGAACGGACCATTCAAACATTGGAATACTTGTTACGGATGTGTACCCTAGATTTCCAAGGTAGTTGGGAAACCTACTTACTATTGGTCGAATTTGTGTATAACAATAGCTACCATTTGAGTATCGACATGGCTCCTTATAAAGCTTTGTATGGTAGAAATTGCTGTTCTCCGATTTGTTAGGTCGAGATAGGTGACAGACCATTGTTGGGACCAGAACTTGTGCAAGAAACAACTGAAAATGTGAACTTGATTCAACAAAGATTGAAAACTACACAAAGCCATCAAAAGAGTTGTGCAGATGATCGAAGGCGAGATAGAGAATACGAAGTCGGGCATCATGTGTTTATAAAAGTGACTTCAATGAAAGGACAAACTGGGGTTGGTGTTAAGGGCAAGTTAGCACCGAGATATGTTGGGCCATATGAAATCCTTAAGAAAATCAATCTGGTGATGTATCGGGTAGCCTTACGGCTGGTCATGGAGCATATGCATAATGTTTTTCATATATCTATGCTTCAAGAGTATTTGATAGATCTATTCCACGTGATTGAACCAACTCATGTGCTTTTGAAAGATGACTATACTTATAAAGAACGGCCAATGCAAATTGTCAACCGAAGAATTAAGAGATTGAGAAGCAAGGAAATTCCGTTTGTAAAAGTTGATTGGCAGAACCACGGAGGGACCTATGCAACTTGGGAAACAGAAGAAGATATGATGAAAAGATACTCAGATTTGTTCCCTCTGGATTCGATTTTCTTTCAAAATGAAGATACTTCGAGTTTGGAGGACTAAACTTTTTAAAGGGAAAAAACTGTAACAACCCCGATCCATGATTACTTACTAAGCTATGATTAAGTATGCCTAATGAGTAATTAGGATCAAACTTTGAATTAATTGCATACAAATAGCATCATTTGTGTTTATATCTGTTTATCGTAGAAATATCTGTTTGCATTTTTGTTTCGTTTTGCGAATTGAAGGCCTTATCAGCATTTGATTATGAAATTGACTTGATTTCTGTATTAGTTAGAATTTTTAGAATTTTATGGTAGGTTCAATTGAAATTCGACTCGGAACGGATTAATTAGAATAATTAATGTCCAATTGATTAACTTAATCAATAATTTAATTAAGCCACTAATTAAGCCTATATAAGGCCCATGTGAACTCATTAGTTCATTTTACACTCTCATATCACCCTACTTTAAAGAGAAAAATGTAGAGAGAGAGAGAGAAAAAGAGAGGAGAAAATTGAGCTCATCTTAGGTGAATTGCTAAAGAATTTGGAGGGTTTGGTTGGGGCTGCAAACAATTGACCATTGAAGGTAAGAATTCAACCTTCTAGCTTTGGGATTAAGTCACTTAGCACATGAATTCAAAGAGTTGAGTTGTGTAGTGCAAGAATTGAACTTAGATGGTTAACTATAGGAGTGTAACATACATGCGTGCATGCATATATTTTAGCATTTGAGTTTGATTCTAAAGAATTTTCATATGCATGTGTCTATCTTGACTTGGTTTTGAGAATTCATCACATTTCTTACCATTTGATCTTAATTGATCATGTTTTGGAAAGTATAAGGTCATAGTAATTCATCCATGTCATATTCATGGCATATTCATAAGTTTCAAGTCGACTTTTGAACAATTGGCATGCTATTGGGCCTTGATTGTACGAAATGGTTTTGAATTCAAGATGTTTTCCAAGTTTAGACTTGTTTTCTCAAGCTTTGGGGCCCAAAGGTTGAGTTTGAAGGCATTGAATTCGAGTTTTGGACTTAGGAATGCAATCTGGAAATTCTAGAATTTGCATCCTTCGCTCGAGCGACATATCCTACGCTCTAGCGACCACTCTGTGGTCTTGCACTTCTGTTTGAGCGGCCAGAAGTTCGCTCAAGCGTGAAATGCAAGCTCCCAAAAGTTTTACTTTTTTGCAGACCGCTCTTGAGCAACAAGAGGTGCACTCGAGCGAGGACCTCAGTCTTACGCTTGAGCGAACGTCGAGCGGAGAATTCACACAACCAGTACTTTTACAGACCGCTCAAGTGACAAAAGTTACGCTCGAGTGGGACCTCTGTTTACAGTATTTTTGACTAATCCACATTGCATCATGGGCATTCCTAGGCCAAGATTAAGACATAATATGAAGAATAAGGACTAGAAACACACTAAGAATGAAACAAAATAAGTTAAGTACGACCCGAGCGTGTGTTCCAAAATGCGTATCTGTTACTTTGTGTAGGTCACACGCCATGAACCGTTGATCCATTGGCTGCTATCAAAGTTACCTGTGCAATAATTTGTGAGTAATAACTCTGTAAAGTTATGTTTAACTTTAATTATTTTTTGATGAAGTGAAATGATCAGTTTTCCAAAATGTTATGTTTTGTATGAATGAATGATTGACCGAGTTTCTAAAATATATTCGCTGCATCTTTAGCATCATATGATATGTGTCCCTTTATGGGTCATCGGAAATGTCTCGTGCACATGAGTCATCAAAATGCCTTATGGCTGTCCCTTTATGGGTCATCGGAATGTCTTCACGGCCGTCCCTTCATGGGTCATCGGATTTGTTATCGCTAATGGATGTGCCACGTATTATGATGTGAAATATACAAACTTTGAATATGAATATGACGTATATGAAACTGTTTCTGCTTTGACATCTGATCATGTATAAGACTCTGTTTCTGTATGGACATCATTCAGTAAATTCTTTACTTTGTTTTTATTCATTGGGCTTCTGCTCACTATTTATATTATGTATGTAGGTGAATAGGCGTGTGATCAGGCCTAAACTGTTGCTTGGAAAGTTTGGGTCAACTAACCACTGTGTCTCCCGTGGAGGTTCCCTTTTGAGATTCGTTCAAGTTTTTGAGAAACAAGCCTTTGGGGCTTTTGTACTTTCTGATGTTTATATTTTGTCTGAACATGTTTTTGGAAATTCTATACATATGGTTTTGGTGACATACGACTAATATATTTATATAACGTCACTCTTATGTATCGAAGTTTTAAGCTTTTGTTCCATGTATGTCTGCACAGCTCTATGGACTATGAATATTTCTATATTTGCTTTCGTAGCCCCTTATCATATGATATTTAGGTCAGAGGCCTTTGGTAATCCCAAGATTATTGGTCGGTTATGACGCTAAACCTATAGGGGCGGGTTTAGGTCGTGACAAGAACCATACAAAGCCTGCAAACATAATGGGCTTGTTTGGTTTGTGTTTGAAATTTTTTTTTCTGAAATATTCTCTACAAACACATTTCTGGGAGTAATCAAACCAAACAGATTTTTCCCAAAAAAATTCTCAGAAATGTGTTTGGTTGTCTTTTTTCAGGATCACTTTTCAAAACAAATTCTCAAAAATCCGTTTGGTTGGTTTTTTGAGAAACAAAAATACAAACACCCCTAATTAAAAAAAAATAGTGTGTAAACATGTTCATAATTTGGGAATCTCATTTAAAATAAAATTTATTGTTGATAAGTTCCACTATATTACAGTTTGTAGTGTTTGAAAAGCCTATTCAGTTGTGAAAATTTCCCGATGATGCCTGCATTTTCAAATTCATAAGAAGGACCATCTCTCATCAGTATTCAAACACACTGCACGTTGTGGATAAAGGAAGTAAGTTGGTGTTGTGGGACGGACAGGGTGAGTGAAATCAACCCTCATACATGCCATTTTTCGGTTTGGGCGAACCAAGAGAGGGGAGCATTATCATTGACGATGTCGCTATTTCGAAGAAAGGACTTCATGATTTGAGATCAAGGCTTAGCATCAACGATAAGACCCAACGATGTTTTACGGTTCCCCCACGTCCACAATTTGCAGTCTACCACCCTAACAATTTGCACTCTACCACCCCCACGTCCACATCCATACCCACGCCCACGCCCACGCCCACGCCCATGAACACGCGTACCCTTACAAACTTATCCCTGCCAACTGCCATCATCTGTGTTCCTAGCAGTATCCCCACCATAACTTCTTTGATAACCATCAGCATTTCCAATGCTTTGCTGATACCTAACGTCCCCTCCACCATCAGTTTCACCACACTTCTGTTTATAACCATTGGCTCCTCTATTATTTGGTTGATAACTATTTGCATAGTCCTCCGTCTCAAACTGCTGCACATCATTCTGACCCTCAACGGTTCGACCTTGGCCTCCTGTTCTTCCCTGGCTTTCATTTCTCGCTGAAATCAGTCAATACCATATTGTCATATCACTCAACAGGATTCAACAATTCAAAGGTAAGAAAATAAACCCACAATAAAGTTTTATTTTCAGAAAACTAAATTAAAGTTTAAAAGAAACTAAATGAGAAAAAACCCATTATCATGTTTATCATTTTGACTCCATCAGTTTAAATAGATCAAAATAGACATCAAAATAAAAAGCTTGCCTCCATCTCATGTTGATGCAACATCAAATAAAATAAATAAATCTTAATTCATGAAAAAGCATTTGTGCAACTTCATTGAATCAGATAAATGAAGTCCAACCCGCAATTCATACAAACGACACAAATAAATATCTACAAATGAGATTGAGTTGCATTAAGTGATGCTGAGCTTAGTCGCATGAGCCTGACACCGAGCAGGGTTAGAAAGCTGTTAAGATCAACTCCGTCTAGGACAAATACACCAAGCACCACCACTTTGTAATCCACCAGAGAAAGCATAGAGTTATGCAACTCTTAAACTGTGTTTGGATCTCGAATTTGTTTTGAGGAATTTTAGCCAATACTCCATAGTCCTGTGACAATCATGCCAATTAGATGAGATCAAAAATGTAGATAAAGAGGAAACAACTTTTGATTGTTCTTTACAAGTAGCAGTTTTTTGACAATTTTCTCAGTGACAGATTACAAGAAGTTCAGCTCATTGTTGATTTAGGTGAAAAAATGATCAGCTTATTGTTCCGGATGAACTAAAAAGCACCAACAAGGTAATAAGTGCAAAAAAGAAAATAATTATGCCAATAAAGTAAAATTAAACAATAAATAACCTGAATTTGTCTTCTATTCATTTACGTGTCCAATCTCCTAATTTATCATCCCATGTCGAATTCCTCTGATACCCAACAGGAGGAGACCTTGATATTCAAACCACTGTTGACTATCTGCAATTTGGGCATCCCATGATAATGGGTTTTGGTACAGATGGAAATTTGCCCCTAATTTTCTCCAATTTTGGCAATTCTTGTAGATCAAGTTTATCACCAACGAACACAGCAACAAAAAACAAACATGCAACACATTCTATTCTACACTTTCTTAATCTACACGAATTAAAATAGTTTTAGCTACGACCCAACGATGTTTTAGCTTTAACCATATGAGTGCAAATTGTTGCACTACATTTTAAACTAAGTCATTAACTACTACATTAGTGTACCCGCTGAAGGAAAAAACGAAAAACCACAAGAACCCATGGTTTAAAAAAAAAAGGATCATAATAGTAAAACAACTAGCCCATAGTTTTAAAAAAAAAGTACCCCATGGTTCCAAAAAACCATACATGACCAAACGGACATTAAAAAACATGTAACTATAGTACCGATACACGAACCATACATGCACAAGAAACATTTAACAAACCGTACATCAACACTTCTGACATAAAACAATTACCACAATCTGTTTGAAAATAATAAAAACCAAAATAGTACAACATAATTACTACCAATGGTTGAGCTACCATAACTAAACAACAAGTTCAAGCATTGTTTCAACCACAGTTTGGAATATCCTACTTAAGTACAATGACAAACAAAGTACCAACAAAAGGATGATAATAGAAAAACAAAGAAAAGCATTGCATCCACAACAAACCCAAAACAACCACTTCCCGCCAGTACGAGGCACTTGCGTAGGTGTAAAATGCTGTATGCCACCATCATAGTCATCTACCCAGAGGAAGGAGCCCCTATGATTATCCCAATTAGGACAACGAAAAAAATAACGACCATTGTTTGCTTCGGTGCGAGCCATAATCACCAACATTGGACTAGCGCCACATGAACAATTTGGTGTCACCTTCATCTGCATATGGCGTGAAATTAGCAATCCCATTTTAAAATATATACAATAAAACATTTTATAATGTGAAGTTTAAAACATTAACCTATGTGCTCCATTTTTTCCAATTACCAAAAAGAATCTACCTACTTGTAATCATATACCTATTATTGTATGCTTCCCACATATATGCTGCAACCTCATCTTGCCATTGTCCCATCTGCAGTAGTTGTTCACGTGACATGTTCACATGGTTGTGTTGTTGCATAACTAGTACTCCATCTTCATGTTCGTGGACATTTTGAACTCCAACTTCACCCTGAACTTCACTTGCACCTTCACCTCTACCTTCACCTTCATCTTCATCTTCGTCTTCATCTTCGTCACTTGATTCTTCTGCATTGAAAAATTCATCCTGCTCTTGCACCGTCCAGATCCAATTGTGCAGAACACAACATGCCATAACGATTGGCCCTTACCGTACCATATCATACCGTGGCATGTGTCTGAATAATGGAAACCGTTGTTTCAACACTCCAAAGGTTCTTTCTATAACATTCCTCAAAGAGGAATGTCTATGGTTGAATAACTCCTTTGGACCATGATAGCGACGCCGCCTATTGAACTCCTACAAATGGTATTTTTGGCCACGATGTGGGGCTACGTACCCGGGCATGTGTGTATACCCGGTATCAACGAGATAATACTTGTCTACAGTAAAACACTTTCAGTAAGAACATTTCATGGCATATTTGGGTGTGAGAAAAAGGAAAATACAAAAGTAAAAACAAATATACTTACTAGGTGGTGGGTGTGGAAAGTCAGCAGAATTTGTGGTAAGTGTTTCTAGAAAAAATCTCAAATCATGTGCACTACCTTCCCAATCAGCGTATACAAACGTAAACTTCATGTCAAAATGAACATGCAGCCATGACATTTTGAGTTGTATGCACTTTTCTACCTCGATATGGCATTTGGTCACCTTCTGGTGCCACAACAACAATATGTGTGCCATCTATGGCCCCTACATAGTCCTAGATGACATTAACTTTGAATTAATTTATCAATTTAATCTTTAAGCCATATAAAATAATTCAAATCAACTGCCATTTATGTTACCTTAAACCATGGCTAGTACCGTCTGTCATTTCGAATTTTAGGATGGGTAACAGCCATGTTCGGTGGTTGGATTACAAATGGCGCAAGATTTCCCAACGCTCGCATCATAAGTACGAAATGATGATGAATTGTCTCATTTGAGTGCTGAAATCGATCTCCAGCATTTCTTGTGCCTGAACTTTGACCACAGATAAATAAAAACATAGCCAACGACTCTTCCAGTGACAATCGCATGTTCGATTAGCCTACAACATTTCTACGGACAATTTGTTTAACCAATTCCACAAATGTTGGGACCTCCATTCGCAATTGGTTACGGATTGATTTAGGATTTCCACTTAGTAAGAATTTATGTATAGATCACCGGTGTATGGACAATTATGTTGCGGTCGTCTCGTAGGAATGTCACGTGTTAGTTGACAAATCATGTGTAAGTCCATCACATCATCATCGTCGTCACTGTACGGGTCGTACATATTGTTCGGTTGCCCTCCATTGGGTCGTGACGACGACATCTAAAGCGGAAAGTGTAAAACAATCATGGTATTATCAGTAATGATATGAGTATAGCACTAAAAATTTAATGAGGACATTGCAACAAAGAAAGCATGATGAAAATAAATTACGACAACATGGTGCTAAGTCTAAAGTGAAACCACATAGAAAGCATGAAATATCAAATTAGCTCAACACCCAACATAGTCCAAACCGAAAAGGAAAAACAAAAAAATTAAAACAAAAAAAATTTAGAACTTCAAGTTTAACAGAAACAAAAAAACATAAACCTAAACAATTCTGCAAGCATCTTCATTTCCTTCACCTCAAACCAAATAGTGGGATGACCAAGCTTCTCACAAACTGAGGATCCAAAGGTACCTCATTTCCGGTTCCATGGTCATAAACATGGTTTGCCATTCTAGTGATGTGAACATGTTCATGGCCTTCAAAAACAAGCTTGGATCCGGGGCCATCGATTTTAGGATGGCCATACATGCTGCGACAGAGTACGCATCAGCTGTCCTAGCGTTTGCCTCTGCTCGAAGGTAAAACCATTCACGTGCGTCACATGAACGTTGCCATGATTGCAGTGTATCATCCATTCTTGGGTTCTTACTGGACTGGCCCTGGCCACTAGACTTACGCTTACTTCCGGAAGTGCAAGATTCATCTACTACGCCTTTCCCCGTCGTATATGCATGAAAGCGTTCATTCATTTCTCGCTCGTCATCAGATGTGGGTGCACCCTGATGAGAAGAATGGGCAAAAGCGCCAGTGGCAAATGACTTGGCAAATATTTCTGACATGAGCTCATAATGTTCAAGGCCTTTGGTTTGGAATTGTTTTGTATTTGGGTGTGCCTACAAGTTGTAAACATTAATTAATCATTTAAAAAAATATTTCTCTATACACATGGTTCTGGTAAATGTATGCGCCAAAATAATTACCTAAACATAATTTTCCCAAACATCATTTGGGGCTATCACTGTTTGAGTTATTGGATCCTAGCCCAAACCCGTGTGGGCTTTTAGAGAAACAAACTCTTTGTAGTTTGCCTTCAAACGCGCGAACTTACCCTTCAATTTTTTTAGCCCAAAATTTTTTCCAACCTTTTTAGTCATCTCCTCATCAATTGTTTGCCACTGCTTTGGGTAAAAACTTCTATCTTTCTTTGACATCCGAGGACCCTCTTTCTAAATTTCATCCAACAATATTTCTAAAAATATCTTCACATTTTCAAACCCCCACATCTTAAAGTCGTCAATATCGTTAGCCATTCTAGCCTAATACAAGTGCAACAAATTAACGTTTATAGTAAGTTGGAAAGTTAGCAAGTTCAATTCAATTATACACCTTAAACCATTTGCAACACAATTAAAAAAATAAGAAATTAATAGCACAGCAAAGTTGTAGGTGTTGACCAGTCTACATACCACTGACTTAATGAGTAATTGAATTGTAGTATGTGAACAACATAAGTTTAAAAAATCTGGTGCAGTTAATAAAAACATAGCATTGTGTTTGGCAGTAAGTGAGATTAAGTATATGCATAAGAAAAGGGAATATATCTGTGGCAGTCTAATGTCCATGAAAAAAAATTAGTGAGCCATTATTAGCAAAATCCACAACTGCTAAACATCACTATATTGGCCATTACGAATATTTAATATGAGATTCAACGTGCAAAAGTTTACCGGATAAGGACAATCGTTTTCAGCAGTGAAGGAATTGACTGATGGTTGAGGTGATCTCTTCCTCTTATTTTTTGGTGTATTGAACAATGATTGAGGAGTACATAGTTGGCTTGAAACATTGCAGAGAAATAGTTTAAATAGGAAACAAATCAAAATCTTGGTCCTTAACTAAAAGTTAGATTAGCTTGCCCTTTGAACATTTTGACATCTTGGTCCTCAACTAATATATTTTATATATAAATAAATAAGTTCAAAATTCAAAATTCAAAATTCACTTACTTTGATACTGGTTTAAAAGCAAAATTCAAAATTCACTTACTAATATATTTGCCTTTGATACTGGTTTAAAATAAAAATTCACTTACTTTTCATTCTATAAAACTACCTTTTTATCAAATTGAGATCATGTGGCCTTACAAATTGGCCTGTTTATCAAATTGGCCTTAATTTGCCTTAATTTTTTTTCCCTTACAACTACTTGTTTATGAAATTTGCCTTACAACTACCTGTTTATCAAATTTGCCTTATTTTTTTTCCTCTCTTCTAATTGAGATCCTGTGGCCTTACAACTACCTGTTTATCAAACTATCAAACTATCATGTGGTTTGTGCATACGTTTTCTCAAAGAAAGGAAGCAGAACAGGAGGTGGTTCAAATACGCGTTACAGAGTGTAATGAAAAGGGAAGAAAATAGGTTTGTCACAAAAAAATATAAGTTAGATTACAATCATGATGTATGCAAATTTTGTATGGTATACGGTGTTTGGATGCATAATCACAAATTTATTGGCTCATAATCTGATTTAATTTTTTATTTTTTATGAGACAACACTTTCTTAAATAAGTAGAAGACATGACAAGAATAAAGGGCATCCATAAATTGACAGCACAAACATTAAAGCTAAATTATGGAAAACACACTAAACACCATATGGAACCCAACGACACTAAACAACAGCACAAGCAACCACATTCTTTCTAGGAGGCCAAGTAAACTCTGATGCCTCAATCCTTATCAAGACATCCCTTAAAAGCTCAGGAGGCATATTTGCCCAACCACTTTGCTTCAAAGCATCAACCAACACCACCAAACTATCTTGAACCACCTGGAGCAACCTCGACTTCAATCCATACCCAAATTTCACATCAAACCCTTTTCTAGAAGTGCTTCGCAATTCACCCTTCACGTCCTGAATTATACTCTTAAAGGACATCTTAACACTTTTTTTCTCAGTCTTTACATCAAACAGTTTATCTACAACAAACAGTGTTTACTTTTTTTAGTCTTCACATCAAACAGTCTTTAATTTATTGGCTCATAATCTGAGTTAATTACAACTTATTCATTTACCTTCATCAATTTCAACAAAACAAGGACATTACTTAGCTTGAGAAAAAAAGCAGACAGTGCTGTGTAAAATTTTTGAAAATTTACCGATTGGGAAATTTCACCACAAATTGACAAACTCAAAGGCAGTGACGAAAAGATAAGCCATGGGAACTTTGTAAACCAAAATCAGTCAACACATTGTTCAAAACTCATGTACCAAATGAAATTTCCAAAAAAAAAAAAAAATTATTTGTTCAACACAAATACCTCTTGCTTGCCTGCTTTTGGTGGCCCTCAAATCCCACCCTCTGCAACGAAGTTTTGAGCACAGCCTCTCAGTTTTTGCAGTGAATGATGAAGTTATGCTTCGTCTTGGTGGGGTTTGAAGCTGGTTGGTTCGCATTTTATAGAGCCCACAAGAAAAAAATGATGGACATTAATATTACAAGTCTAGATTGTGTGAAGATTTAACTCAGTTTGACTAAGACCAAAGTTAGGGCAAGATTTGGGAAAATCTGTGAGGAAGACAAGTTGTAGCTATTCAAAGAGGACTCGTACGAGCAGATGCCCCCTATTGCCTCAAGCCTGTGTGACACAGAGATGAAGGAGGTGATAAACAGTCTCGGTGCATCTATGGCAGAAGATTTCTCAAATCTTGAACAACGTACTGATAGGGGAAAGACAAGTGGGTCACTTCGAAGGCACTTAGGCGAGTACAGATCTTGGCCTACAAGTGTGAATCGTCTTCTTTGACACAGCGGAGAGAGAGCCATTGGAATGCCTCTAAAGGAATTTTTTTGTATCAAAGAAATGAGGTCAGAAAGGTTCTTTTGAGAGAGAGAAGTGAATGACAGAAGATGCGTATAACTTGTGTTGGGAACCATCTTTTTTTCTCTGAGATGAGTCTTCAGAGAATATTTCAAAAATTTGTTTGCCAAACGCGTTTTGGTACTTTTTTCTCTCAAAAACTGATTTTGAAATACAAACCAAACAAGCCCTCTATCTCTCATACACATTAATCAATCACTTTTTCTCTCTCTCTCTCTTCTCTCTTTCTTAATCACTTTTTCTTTCACACACATCTACTCAACTACAACAAAATATCAAATCATCTCAAATTCTGATACTCAAAAATTATTTTCAAAATATACAACCAAACAAACTAAAAAAATTTCTAAACTCACTTTTCAATTTTTTTAAAAAAAATTTATCTCTCAAAACCAAACCAAACACACCCATTATTTTTTAGTATAAAAATTAAAAAATTATTTTAAAAAATTAAAAAGTAAAGGAATTATATATATAAAAAAAAACATTTTAGCTCTACTTTTCATATATTTTTCATAAAAAATTAAAAAATCATTCAAAACATTAACTTTTTACATTATATTTTAGTTTAAAAAAAATATATTAAAATAAGGGAAAATTACCATGTAGTCCTATGTAGGGGATCTATTTCCCTTCTAATCCCAATTTATTTTTAATAGTTTAATAGGTCCACAGTTTTTTTAGTTTTATACCCAGAGGTCCCGTTTTTTATTTTCGTATTTTTAAATGACTGTGTTACCCTTTGTTTTGAGATCTATATGTACGTGAGAAATCAAATTTTTGCTTCGTTGAAAAAAAGGAAATCAAATCTTCGTCTCCGCGATCTCGATTTCTCTTCGTTGTGGCGATCTCATTGTGCTGTGTGGTCGATCTCATTGTGCTGTGAAGTGGATCTGGTTGTGCGATTTGAATCTGTGTGTACAGGCGATATCTTCGTACGTTGTCTCTCTCTCTCTCTCTCTCTCTCTCTGGTGATAGATATATGTATGTGTATGTATGTATCTGTCGATACATAGATATACATATATATGTATATATATATATATATGTCTGTGTGTGTATGTGGTTTGTATTTTGTCGACATATATGTATGTATATATATATAAGCAAATTTGCGTGATATGTGGTTTGTGTTTGGCGAATTTTGTTTGTTTGATTTTGATTTTGTTGATTTTTGTTTGTCGTATAGTGTAATGTGTTTTGAAGTTGTATTTTGGAATTGTGAATTCTGGTGTTTTGATATTGATATGTCGTAAGTGTATAATTTTGCAGTTTTGGAATTGTAAATTGTGTACTGTTGTTATTGATATGTTGTAACTGCATAATTTTGCAGTTTGGAATCTGTGAACAATTGTTTGTTGGTTTCTGATTTTGTAGTATGGAGCGGTGTTTCATGTTAATGTGCAAATACAGTAATTGTTGTGCTGCTATTAAGATTAGTGACGGATGTAGTTATGATGAAGTTGTTGAGAAAATATGTGCGAAGTTCAAGGAGTTGAGTATTGGTAACTTTTGTTTGTTTTTCTCTGTTCCTGGATATTCTAATTGTATTGTTGAATGTGATGATGATTTGGGGAATATGCTGTCAATGGTAGGTGGTAGTGGTTGTCATGTTGTTGATGTTATTGTGGGGGATAAGAGAGTTGTGGAGGTTGATGATGGTAATTCTTGTAGGATTCCCCACATCTTAAAGTCGTCATTATCGTTAGCCATTCTAGCCTAATACAAGTGCAACAAATGACCGTTTATAGTTATGTGAACAACTTAAGTTCCAAAAATATCATTGTGTTTGGCAGTAAGTGAAATTAAGCATATGCATAATAATAGCCATTACAAATATTACGAATATTTAATATGAGATTTCGCGTGCAAAAGTTTACCGGATAAGGACAATCGTTTTCAGCAATGGAGGAATTGACTGATGGTTTATTTGTTGGTGTATTGAACAATGATCGAGGAGTATGTAGTTGGCTTGGTTTAAAATCAAAATGAAAAATTCACTTATTAACAATTTTGTGCACGATAATGGTCTTGCATAATACATCTGCAATTTTTACACATTTATTATAAACCCTAGGCACAAGAGCAACGAAGCATCATTATTGTATTGTTTTTTCTCTAGTCATAATCATATAAACCGAGTCATTACTTTTCGTATACCGCTTTACATGTCTATGCAATCACTTACATATTCTTCCAATACAAGCTAGACCCACATTGGTACATTAAAGTCAACAGTTATAAGCATAACAAATACCAAAAAATAGTTTATTTTAAGTGCTTAAAAGAGATAGCTTTGCTATTTTAGAAGAAATATACCCAGTGATTAACAAAGTGGAGGGAATGAAAGCAAAAGTTATGTTTAAATTATTTGGCCAAATCGCTAAAGGCAATGCATTCATAGTCACACGGAAAAAATAAAATAAAATAATGCAGAGTATGGCATTTAGGATGGTATACGGTGTTTGGATGCTATAGATAATGATATGTCAGATACAAATACAGATGAAAACCAAAAAATGAACTAATTATTCCAGAAATCATTTTTCAACAAAATAAGAAGGTAACATAAGGATATGGTTCTTAGTTTGCAAACAAGAAAGTTTGTGAAGAGGAAAAATGTCTATTAACTAAAAGATGCAGTTGAGCATTCACAAACATCATTTTAACCCAAATATTTAAACCTCTGTAAATGCATAGTTAAGTGACTCTGGTGTGTTGGTCAATCACACATGCACATGGACAGTCAGTCTTGGTACACTGGGAATGTTACATGAAATCAAACATTGTTAACCTAGACTTTGTGGAGTTTGTAACCACAGGATTAATCGGTGTATAGCCCCAAAATAAATGAGACACAGAGAGAGAGAGAGGATTTCCACACGCACACACAAAACGAAAAAAAAGAAAAAACTATTTGCTAAAATATTTTCAATCTGCTAAGCTATTTATCACTACAAAGATGTCCTCAAACACTAATGATGACAAGTGTGATGGGTAAAATAAGTTTACTCAGC